ATTGTTTTAAATATAGAACCATAATCAACTGTATCTTACTAATTAATAATTGAATTCAGTGGAGTTGCTTGGCTGTAAATGAGGGCAGAATCTGGCCCTCATGTTTCTTAGATAAGCTCTTTGAGGCAGGGACTGTCTCTTTTCTATGTTATGTAAATTGCTTAGCACTTTCAACCATTATATAAATAATAATACAGATCAAGATTTAGAAAATAAGTAGTTAATTAGGATAGGAAAAATAAAGACGGTCTTTGGTGAGCTCACAGGCAACTTTTGTTTGAAATATGCAGCAAGATTTAGGCTATGTCTACACGACAATCTTAAATCAACCTATTTTAGGTCGAGTTCCAGCCACCACATTAATTACTGCTGTGGCTGATGTCCACACTACCCTCCTTCTGTTGGTGGTGTGTGTCCTCACTAGGAGTTCTTCCACTTACTGAAGAGGGGCTGTGTGGGAGAGCTGGGAGTGGTAGGGGGGAGCCATCCAGGGCTTCTCGCCTCCGGCGGGGAGATCCACACCTGGAGTCCAGATGGCTGCCATGCTCCTGGCAGGGAGCCAGCACCCCAGGAGACAGTAGGGCTCTCAGCGGGGAGTAGGGAGCCCAGGCAGCAGCCAAAGCCAGGAGCCTGGGTGGCAGCCTGGCTTGGAGTGGAGACCCCAAAGCAACCTGCCTCAGGAGCTGAGAACCAGTTTTCTTGTCAATTTCATGGCTCCAGTGGATAACAGCCAACAGCCAATGTAAGGACCCCAGTGTCTACACAGACGCGCCACCCTAACTACACTGAAATAAGCCCTATGCCTCTTGTTGAGGTGATTTTATTATGTTGGCATAGCATATATTACATTGCCAGGAAGAGCATTTCAGTGTGTACACCTCCCCTGTTTTATCGACAAAAGCTGACTGTTTAGTGTAGACAAGGCCTTAGTATGATGGTAATATATTGACAAACCACAAAGAGTCTTATTATTTCTGGTATAACTTTAAGCCATATACCATCTGTCTTTCAATTTTCAACCACAAATGCAATAAAATTGTTATCTAGCACCATTAAAACGTTGATCTTCTTGCACTACTAATACTGGCAGTGAAAACACATTGGGGTTCACTAGCAGCTAATTGTAGTATTTGGCTAAAAGCCAGATAACTAGAAAAAATAGTTTTGCCTGAGACAAATAATAGATATAGCAATAAATGATATAGTCAGATTGTATAAGCCTGTGTTAATTGCAGCAGGATATTAATAATAAACAATAATATCAATAGTTAACCTAATCTCAAATCTGAACTTCCTAGACATTATTTTTCACATATAATTTGATAAATTTTGATTGTCATAATATATGATAAACTCTGCATATAGAATGTGTGCTTTTGATTAATGAGGTGTACTGCATATTTGATCACCCAAATCATAATTAAAAATAGTTAATAGTTGCTATAAATACCTTGTGACAACTACTTTGTTTCAGAAAATCATTACTTCTTCCTTTATCAAATAATTGTTTTTGTTTTTAGAATGTGAACTAGATTAAGACATTCCAGAAAAGTTAAAGATTGAATACGCTTGTTTTTCCTAATGATTAAAAGATTTAAGGTAATCAGTAGAGGTGGGATTTTCAGAAATGCTCAGATTGGCCTAACTTTGCTCCAGTTGAAGCTAAAGAATGAACAGAGTTAGGCCAGTGCTGAGCACTTTAGAGAACCCTACCCAAGTCTCCATGACAATATTCATATCTAGCTCTTAAGCAAAGTTTGAGAGTGGCACAATGCTGCATGAAATTAGTATCTGCAAGACTGAAGAATCAGTACTAGCCAACATATAGGCAGATCTCATGTCTGTAATCTGCCAGGGTTCTTGTTCACTACCAAATTGGGTTGATTACAGGTGAAGTATGTGGGAGAGAAACAAGAGGGAACAAACAGGAGTTGTTGGGGTTGTTTCTCACCATGGAAGGAGACGAGGGAATGGCAGTGGGAAGATCTGACATGAGCTGCCACTGAGAACAGTTTGTGAATTCTCAGGAAATTATGCCTGCCGCAAGAATGCTTATTGTCTTTATTCTCTTGCTAATAAGGCTTTTGACACAGTCCCTCGTGACATTCTTATAAGCAAACTAGGGACATGCGGTCGAGGTGAAATTACTATAAAGGGGGTGCACAACTGGTTGAAACACCATATTCAAAGACAGGTTTCAGAGGAACAGCCGTGTTAGTCTGTATTCGCAAAAAGAAAAGGAGTACTTGTGGCACCTTAGAGACTAACCAATTTATTTGAGCCTGAGCTTTCGTGAGCTACAGCTCACTTCATCAGATGTATACCGTGGAAACTGCCATGATTTCAACCATTCCACCATGATTTCAACAATTTCCATCCCACCACCAACCTCAGCCTGGTCCAGTCCACACAAGAGATCCACTTCCTGGACACTACAGTGCTAATAAACACCACCCTATACCGGAAACCTACTGACCGCTATTCCTACCTGCATGCCTCCAGCTTTCACCCTGACCACACCACACGATCCATCGTCTACAGCCAAGCTCTGCGATACAACCGCATTTGCTCCAACCCCTCAGACAGAGACAAACACCTACAAGATCTCTGTCAAGCTTTCTTACAACTACAATACCCACCTGCAGAAGTAAAGAAACAGATTGATAGAGCCAGAAGAGTTCCCAGAAGTTACCTACTACAGGACAGGCCTAACAAAGAAGATAACAGAACGCCACTAGCGGTCACCTTCAGCCCCCAACTAAAACCCCTCCAACGCATTATTAAGGATCTACAACCTATCCTAAAGGATGACCCAACACTCTCACAAGTCTTGGGAGACAGGCCAGTCCTTGCCTACAGACAGCCCTGCAACCTGAAGCAAATACTCACCAACAACCACATACCACACAACAGAACCACTAACCCAGGAACTTATCCTTGCAACAAAGCCCGTTGCCAATTATGCCCACATATCTATTCAGGGGACACCATCACAGGGCCTAATAACATCAGCCACACTATCAGAGGCTCGTTCACCTGCACATCCACCAATGTGATATATGCCATCATGTGCCAGCAATGCCCCTCTGCCATGTACATTGGTCAAACTGGACAGTCTCTACGTAAAAGAATAAATGGACACAAATCAGATGTCAAGAATTATAACATTCATAAACCAGTCGGAGAACACTTCAATCTCTCTGGTCACGCAATCACAGACATGAAGGTCGCTATCTTAAAACAAAAAAACTTCAAATCCAGACTCCAGCGAGAAACTGCTGAATTGGAATTCATTTGCAAATTGGATACTATTAATTTAGGCTTAAATATAGACTGGGAGTGGCTAAGTCATTATGCAAGGTAGCCTGTTTCCTCTTGTTTTTTCCTACCCCCCCCCCCCCCCCAGATGTTCTGGTTTAACTTGGATTTAAACTTGGAGAGTGGTCAGTTTAGATGAGCTATTACCAGCAGGAGAGTGAGTTTGTGTGTGTATGGGGGTGGGGGGGATGTGAGAAAACCTTGATCTATGCAGGAAATAGCCCGACTTGATTATGTAAAGAGTTGTCACTTTGGATGGGCTAGCACCAGCAGGAGAGTGAATTTGTGTGGGGGGGTGGAGGGTGAGAAAACCTGGATTTGTGCTGGAAATGGCCCACCTGTTGATCACTTTAGATAAGCTATTACCAGCAGGACAGTGGGGTGGGAGGAGGTATTGTTTCATATTCTCTGTGTGTATATAAAGTCTGCTGCAGTTTCCACGGTATACATCTGATGAAGTGAGCTGTAGCTCACGAAAGCTCATGCTCAAATAAATTGGTTAGTCTCTAAGGTGCCACAAGTACTCCTTTTCTTTTTGCATATTCAAAGAGTAGTTATCAATGGCTTGCTATCAAACTGGGAGGGTGTATTTAGTGGGGTCCCACAGGGGTCAGTCCTGGGTCCAGTACTAGTCAATATTTTCATTATTGACTTGGATAATGAGTTGAGAATCTGTTTATAAAATTTGCAGATGACACCAAGTTGGGATGGATTGCAAGCACTTTGGAGGACAGGATTAGAATTCAAAATGACCTCGACAAATTGGAAAATTTGTCTGAATTCAACAAGATGAAATTCAGTGAAGATAAGTGTAAAATACTAGACTTAAGAGGAAAAATCAAATGCACAACTACAAAATGGGAAATAACTGGCTAGGTAGTAGTATTAGTGAAAGAAATCTGGGGGTTCTAGTGGATCACAAATTGAATATGAGTAAACAATGTGATGCTAATATAATATTGGGATTTATTAACAGAAATGTTGTATGTAAGACACAGGAGGTAATTGTCCCACTGTACTCGATATTGATGAGGCCTCAGCGAGAGTACTGTGTCTGGGTGCCACACTTTAAGAAAAATGTGGACAAATTGGAAAGAGTCCAGAGGTGAGCAACAAACATGATAAAAGGTTTAGTGAACCTGACCTATGAGGAGAGGTTATAAAAACTGGGCATGTTCATCTTCAAATCTGTTAAGGGTTGTTATAAAGAGGATGCGGATCAATTGTTCTCCATGTCCAGCACAAGAAGTAATGGGCCTAATCTGCAGCAAGAGAGATTTAGGTTGGATATTAGGAAAAATTTTCTAACTATCAGTGTAGTTAAGTTCTGAAATAGGCTTTGGGAGTTTGGGGAATGTCCATAATTGGAGGTTTTTAAAAACAGGTTGGACAAACATGTCAGGGATTGGTTTACTTGGTGCTCCTCAGTGCAGTGGACTGGACTAGCTGATTTCAAGGTCTCTTCCAACCCTACATTTCTATGATTCTGTAAAAATATTTTCATAATTTAAGGGAGTGCAGTATTACTTTAATCCCATCCTCATTGCAAAATCAAATCTGTTAAAATATATGAAGCTTTCTCAGATGGGCTAATTGATTTGCTCTTTATCAGCAGGTTGAATAATTTATTTACTGGTATTTTTAAATTTATATTTATAACTGTCATTATGTTTCTTTTTAAGATATGGAACGCTGTAGATACAGGCTGTTGTTTAAAAACATACTCCTGTCACAGTTGTGCTGTTCGAACTGCTGAGTGGTCTTTGTGCGGAAGAAGAATTCTCAGTGGAGGCTTTGATTCTATGCTTCATTTAACAGATGTTGAAACAGGTAAATGTAATTTAAAGTTACATTTTTAACACTATTTTCCAGCTCCAGCCCGGATAGTGTGGCATGAGACTATTAGCCCAATTCTCCCATAAAAGTGGTTAAATCTCAAAATATCAAGGCCAAAATTCATACTTAAATGTAGTCAATTATATCCACATAGAATCATAGAATATCAGGGTTGGAAGGGACCTCAGGAGGTCATCTAGTCCAACCCCCTGCTCAAAGCAGGACCAATCCCCAATTAAATCATCCCAGCCAGGGCTTTGTCAAGCCTGACCTTAAAAACTTCTAAGGAAGGAGATTCTACCACCTTCCTAGGTAACGCATTCCAGTGTTTCACCACCCTCCTAGTGGAAAAGTTTTTCCTAATATCCAACCTAAACCTCCCTCACTGCAACTTGAGACCATTACTCCTTGTCCTGTCCTCTTCTACCACTGAGAATAGTCTGGAACCATCCTCTCTGGAACCCCCTTTCAGGTAGCTGAAAGCAACTATCAAATCCCCCCTCATTCTTCTCTTCTGCAGACTAAACAATCCCAGTTCCCTCAGCCTCTCCTCATAAGTCATGTGTTGCAGACCCCTAATCATTTTTGTTGCCCTTCGCTGGGCTCTCTCCAATTTATCCACATCCTTCTTGTAGTCTGGGGCCCAAAACTGGACGCAGTACTCCAGATGAGGCCTCACCAATGTCGAATAGAGGAGAACGATCACGTCCCTCGATCTGCTCGCTATGCCCCTACTTATACATCCCAAAATGCCATTGGCCTTCTTGGCAACAAGGGCACACTGCTGACTCATATCCAGCTTCTCGTCCACTGTCACCCCTAGGTCCTTTTCCGCAGAACTGCTGCCTAGCCGTTCGGTCCCTAGTCTGTAGCTGTGCATTGGGTTCTTCTGTCCTAAGTGCAGGACCCTGCACTTATCCTTATTGAACCTCATCAGATTTCTTTTGGCCCAATCCTCCAATTTGTCTAGGTCCCTCTGTATCCTATCCCTGCCCTCCAGCGTATCTACCACTCCTCCTAGTTTAGTATCATCCGCAAATTTGCTGAGAGTGCAATCCACACCATCCTCCAGATCATTTATGAAGATATTGAACAAAACCGGCCCCAGGACCGACCCCTGGGGCACTCCACTTGACACCGGCTGCCAACTAGACATGGAGCCATTGATCACTACCCGTTGAGCCCGACAATCTAGCCAACTTTCTACCCACCTTATAGTGCATTCATCCAGCCCATACTTCTTTAACTTGCTGACAAGAATACTGTGGGAGACCGTGTCAAAAGCTTTGCTAAAGTCAAGTAACAATACATCCACTGCTTTCCCTTCATCCACAGAACCAGTAATCTCATCCTAGAAGGCGATTAGATTAGTCAGGCATGACCTTCCCTTGGTGAATCCATGCTGACTGTTCCTGATCACTTTCCTCTCATGTAAGTGCTTCAGGATTGATTCTTTGAGGACCTGCTCCATGATGTTTCCGGGGACTGAGGTGAGGCTGACTGGCCTGTAGTTCCCAGGATCCTCCTTCTTCCCTTTTTTAAAGATTGGCACTACATTAGCCTTTTTCCATTCATCTGGGACTTCCCCCGTTCACCACGAGTTTTCAAAGATAATGGCCAATGGCTCTGCAATCACAGCCGCCAATTCCTTTAGCACTCTCGGATGCAACTCGTCCGGCCCCATGGACTTGTGCACGTCCAGCTTTTCTAAATAGTCCCTAACCACCTCTTTCTCCACAGAGGGCTGGCCATCTATTCCCCATGTTGTGATGCCCAGCGCAGCAGTCTGGGAGCTGACCTTGTTCGTGAAGACAGAGGCAAAAAAAGCATTGAGTACATTAGCTTTTTCCACATCCTCTGTCACTAGGTTGCCTCCCTCATTCAGTAAGGGGCCCACACTTTCCTTGGCTTTCTTCTTGTTGGCAATGTACTTGAAGAAACCCTTCTTGTTACTCTTGACATCTCTTGCTAGCTGCAGCTCCAGGTGCGATTTGGCCCTCCTGATTTTATTGCTACATGCCCGAGCAATATTTTTATACTCTTCCCTGGTCATATGTCCAACCTTCCACTTCTTGTAAGCTTCTTTTTTATGTTTAAGATCCGCTAGGATTTCACCGTCAAGCCAAGCTGGTCGCCTGCCATATTTACTATTCTTTCGACTCATCGGGATGGTTTGTCCCTGTAACCTCAACAGGGATTCCTTGAAATACAGCCAGCTCTCCTGGACTCCTTTCTCCTTCATGTTAGTCCCCCAGGTGATCCTACCCATCCGTTCCCTGAGAGAGTCGAAGTGTGCTTTCCTGAAGTCCAGGGTCCGTATCCTGCTGCTTACCTTTCTTCCCTGTGTCAGGATCCTGAACTCAACCAACTCATGGTCACTGCCTCCCAGAATCCCATCCACTTTTGCTTCCCCCACTAATTCTTCCCGGTTTGTGAGCAGCAGGTCAAGAAAAGCTCCCCCCTAGTTGGCTCCTCTAGCACTTGCACCATGAAATTGTCCCCTACACTTTCCAAAAACTTCCTGGATTGTCTATGCACCGCTGTATTGCTCTCCCAGCAGATATCAGGAAAATTAAAGTCACCCATGAGAACCAGGGCGTGCGATCTAGTAGCTTATGCGAGTTGCCGGAAGAAAGCCTCATACACCTCATCCCCCTGGTCCAGTGGTCTATAGCAGATTTAGGACATTTAAATGAGTGTGCTAATTTTCAGATTTCAGAGTAACAGCCGTGTTAGTCTGTATTCACAAAAAGAAAAGGAGTACTTGTGGCACCTTAGAGACTAACCAATTTATTTGAGCATAAGCTTTCGTGAGCTACAGCTCACTTCAGAGGTATTGAACACCTAGAGCATATTATTTCATGTAGTTAGGGCTCCATTTCAACAAAGCACTGAAATAACGTATATAAGTCCATGCTTATTCAGCAGAGCATTAAGCATATGCTTAACTTTAAGGTTGACATCAGTGAGATTTACACATGTGATTAAGCATATGTTTAAGTGGTTTGCTAAGTAGGGATAGACTTAAGCAGGTGCTTACAGTTTATTAAGTAGATAATGTGCCTTGCTCAAGAGGTTCCTAAATATTGGATATAGATTCCTAACTTTAGGACTGAAAGTTTGAAAATTTTGACTTATTAAAAAGTGATTTGTAGAATCATGAACTTGAGGTTGGACTTCACTTTTGTTACCTCATTGCTCTGGTTGCTAAAATGCCATTTTTTCCCAGGCTGCTTCAAGAATTGGAAGGGCATATTTTGTGCGTCTTCCAGATCTCCCCACATTCTTTGTTTAGTAATTATTTCATGAGTCCTGCAATGGCATCTATGCAGCTGAATCCTTGCACTTTAATGGAGGCCCATTGGCTTCAGTGGGCTCTGCATGAGTACAGGCATCCAACTGTGCCAATGAAATTTTGCAGGTTTTGGGCCTAAGATAGCACCTTGCCAGCTGAAGAGATACATTTTAATAAATCTTGGCCATTTAATCTACATTGAAATATATTTAACTGTTTTACAAAGTAATTTATTTTATGAGCATATAATTTTATATCTAAAAAGGTTATATTTATAAAGTAGCATTTATCTAGTAGGTTTGTTTCCTGATGTAAAATTAAAAATCATCTTGTAAAGTGAGGTCTGATGTCTTTTGGAGAGCAGAGTGGCTGCAGATTAAGCATGAAATGGTCCTCTTCTAATGAATTAGGAAGCTGCCCAAAAGACTGAGAAAACTGATCATACAAATGATTAAAGAGAAAGTTCCATTCCTTATCATAGGAATCGATTTCCCAAGATCTGTCATGCCATGTGATTTTAAATTCAGTCATGGCTATAAGTGGGTTGCTGTATGCCGAGACTGTAAAACACATATCTAGAACTGGAATATTGATGTTTCTGGAGTATTCAAGCTTCCCACTAGTATAAATGAATTTTCCTGGATGGCATTCTGTGGAGTTAATATACCAACTTTTTCATTTCAAATAGACTTTATTATGTCGTCTTTTTTTCCCCACAGTCTCATTTCAGTGTTATTTTCGTTTTCATTTTCATTCTAATTTGAAACTAACTCTGATTAAACCTAATGAGCTTAAATTCCGGTGCAATGCTCAGGAAGTTATGCACACAATGACTGCTATTGCTAATGGGAATTTGACATAAAGTACATTTATTCCAGTGTTCTAAATCAATATGGATGAAATCGCTGCGTTATAAAATGTCAATACACATTCCTAAGAGATATAATTCTAAGATTATATAGTAATATTTTATGTCTTCTGGCTGCTTGACTTACAGAACTACCATGAATCAACATTTAAATATAATTCTTTCTTGGATTAATTATTTTTAGTATTTCCTTTGCCTCTAAGGGTAATTTTAATAATAAAATATTGCCAGCATTTTGGACTGTGGCAGCATGAGTGGCAAATGAGCTGATTTAGACCTCAGTATGCTAAGTGGAAATAGTATATGTCTAATCTGTTAAGATTTATGCATCTCTGGTATCTTTTAAGGGCCTCATTTTAAGAGGAGGATAGCTCCTGTTGATCTGTAGTGTTGGTACTCAGAACTTCTGAAAATACCAGGCCCAAGGTAATAAACCTCCAAAACAATACAGGTAATATGACCCCTTCCATGCACATCCAGCCCAAACTTCTAATTTTCCTGCAACTTGTAAAGGTACCCTCTTTCTCTCCTACATTTTCAGTAACTCTTTCAGAGAAACAGGGCAAGTAGTTTGCAGATGGAATCCAAATCAGGTTGATATAAAAAGCCTCATTTCCATTTGAAAATACAAAGCCAGTTACTAGAATCAGATCTGCATTAGTTCACTGAACCATTCACCCCACCCTACTCTTCATTACTTCTGAGATGATTTCATCTTTGATTAACTTCAGATAGATGTTACAACTATATCTTCATAAAAGTGACTCATTCTTTTTTGGGCTTTTGTTCTTAATTATCTTTCCTTGCTAGGCCGAACTCACTGTCACTACA